ATCATGTCGGCGCACGTTGTGCTTATCCAGGAACACATGCTGGTGCGCGACGAGGAGCTCAGGAAGGCTTCGGCCGGGCATGTTCGACACGGTCGGAAAGCTTGTCTCGAACTTGACACGGGGGGCCCAGGCGGGGGCCCAGCGGCTGGCGTCGGGGCCCTGGCCCGAACCTTCCTTGATGCATTGCCCAGATTTTGGTTTCACGATTAAAAACAGCCGGCTGTAGGTGACCCGGTGCACCTCCCAATGCAAGCCTTTATCTTGGTTGCGTCAGCGCGTGCCTGCAGGATTGCGTCGGCCCCAATCCTATCAGGAGATTATGGCAGCGTTGGCGGCGCGCGTCAAGAGCTCGACGGCCCCGTTCATTGCCGGGGCTGGCTTCAACGTCGAGCCGTCGGCGATGGCTAGCTCGGCCTTCCCTGAGCGACTAGGAGCTGGCGCCGCGCGCCCCTCTGATGTTGCAGGAACGTGTCGCAGCGCAGGGGGGCGTGAAGACGTGCGATTATTTATTGCGTTGCTCTCGCCTTGCGATGGCCGTCAAGAGCGCGGAGATAGTTGGCGATTCGGAGTTGGCGACCCGCGACCCCGTCTCTCTTTCTCTCCACCCTTCGTTGGCCCCCTTCAAGGCGCTCGCCTTTCGACGACCCCCCCCCCCCCTCTGACCCAGCGACCTTGTGTACTCTGCCCCAAGACCCCCCATGAGAGGGAGTTCGCCGGGAAACTTGCGCCCCGAGCCTATGCGGCGGCCGAGAATGGCAACGATGATCAGATCCAGTATAACCTTGATTCCCTCTACAAAAGCGCGGGCTAAAACTGCCGAAAAGGAGCTCGAAGGCGCGCGCCACGGCAGCCGTGTACGTCAAGCGCAGCTTCGCTGGATCAGCGCGCTGCCGCCCGACCAGGCCTCCATGGGCGGCGCCTCTTCGACGCCCCGCCTGGCTTCGCAGCTCCGCTGGCTCAGCAATCGTTTCAGGCCGTGGCTCCAGTTGCGCGCCACAGGGTAGCAGCATGCGCAGCAGCCCCCCATCCCCCCCCCCGTTTCGCCCCCAGCGGCGTCGAAAAAAAAGGCCTTGGAACGCCGGGCGCGGCTCGGCGAGGAGCAGCCATCTGTCGCAGACGGTTGCTGAGTTGTTGAACCCTCCTGTCAGGCTTGGCGAGTGGAGTGGCGAGGCCCACGGCTTGCTTGCGCGTTGTCAGGAGGTTGTCTCTCATAGTTTGCCCGCCCCCCCTGGGGCCGTCTCGGGAAAACCAGAGCGCGCTCAGCGCGCTCTTGACTCGGCATCCTCTGCCCAGGCTGCGGCCGTGAGCGAGTCCAGAAACGACGATCGCAGGAATCGGGTTGAGCGGCTGCGCGCCAACATCAAGTCGGGGGGCCACCATGCTCACGAGTTTATTTTGTTGGTTGGGGGGGGGGCGCTTGGACCCCCTCCACCACCCTCGGCTCGAAAGGGGAAGTGATTTTAGATCCTGAGGCCCCCCCTGTTTCGGAGCGTGCGATATTCTTTGACCTCTGGCACGCTGAGGACGTGCAGGGCCACCCGCCACCCTCGGGCAAGTTTGACGTCCTCGACCCTCTTCCAGAGCTTACGCCCGATGACTGTCGCCGCGTCTCCAGGTCCTTCCCCAATCATGCGGCGGCCACGGCTGGCGGCTTTCATGTCAGCAACTTCCAGCACCTCTCGGATCACGCGTTGATCGCGCTTTCCAGGTCGACCTCGACGATCGAACGATCTGGCTTGCTTCCGATGCAGACGAGGGTGTTGCTCTTGATCGTGCTGGCCAAACCTGACGGTGGCCATGGGCCGATCGGTATGCTCGCGTCGGTTTATCGGCTCCGGGCGCGAGCCCGTAGGGGTCACGCTCGCAGGTGGGATGTTGCTAACAGTAGGGGGTAATTTGCAGCAGGCTCCTTCGCCTCGAGCGTGGATAAGTCTGGCGGCCGTGCGTGAGGAGCGAGCGGTGTCCTTCGACTTGTGATCCAGCTCTGTACTTTGGGACCTCCTGAAGTTTTCATTAGTCGGTTGACCTCGATATACTGCTTCAGCGCTGCCGCCGGCACGGTTTCCCAATGCAGATTGCCAGGGTTTGCGATTCAGCGTACCGCGCCTGCCGCTACATGGCCATGAGTAGCAGGATCGCGGGGCCCAAGTTTGCGTGGCGAGGCATTGCGGCGGGCTGCGGGTTTGCGACCACGCTTATCCGAGCATTCAGCCCAGCGGCCTTAGATGGCCTCAGCTTGCCAAGATCAGTCTCCCTTCGGAGTTATATTGATGACTACACCTTATCCTGCCAAGGGTGTGCCAGCGTTGTCATCAATGACCTCCTTGAGGGGGGGTTCAGATTGCAAGCGGTCGGCGAGTCTGATCTTGGTTGTGCGATCGCTGTTTATCGCTTCGGCGCCCGCGGTTGCTAAGGCCGTGCACCAAGGTCTTGGCGCCGTCGGAGGCATGCCGTGCGACTCCGCCGCGAACCCCGGCATGGGCGACGCGGCCGGCAAGCCCCGTCGAGTCGCCCGTCGCGTTGGCAGGATGAAGGTTCGGAGGGGCCAGTTTCAGAAGAAGAAGGAGCGTCTTGGTCGTCGCAAGTCGTCTCTCGGTCGTCACGCCAAACGTGTGCTCGCTCCAGGTGCCATGGCCAGCCTCAGAAATGGTTGCGAGGTGCACGGCACCTCGACTACGAATTCGCCTCGTTCAGGAGAGCTTCAGGGACATTGTTGCCGCCCTCCGCTGGAGGGAGATCTCTCAATGCAGCTTCGCCGTTTGCCGCCGACCCCGCGCGGTATGCGCCGGTCGCCCCGACTGTGAGATAGTCCAAGGAGATTTGGGCCAGCCTGGCGGGGGCCTACGACTACGGCCTGTCGTTGGCCGCCCTCAGGAATGACTGGATCGCGGGCTTCTCGGTGCCTGCCCCGCCTTGGAGGGAGATCCGCGGGCCCGCGGGGCCCTTCGACTCTCGGCGGAGCGTTTGGGGTGGAAGATGACGAGCTTCAGCGCGCGTGTCGATGATTTCGGGGTCGAAGGTTCCCTCGCCCTGGTTCCGCCCCCCCTCCTTAAACGCCTTCTCCGTGCGGCCGTGCTTCGCAATCTGGAGAGGGATTATGGTAAGTCCCTGGGCCTTGATTGCAGGGGATGCGTCGACTTGGCCCAAGCGGCCACGAGCTCGCCCAAGTTCCCCCCCTTCGAGAAGGGGGCCGTGCGAGGCCTCGTCTGCCGGGCCCCTTGGACGAAGGCGCGCGCCGAGGTCCACGGGTGCATCCTGCCCGACCTGCCCCGCCCCCTTCCGCGGCCTCCCGCGCGACGCCATGTTCCACGGTCTTTGGTTTTGCACGCGCGAGTCTGTCAGCATGGCCCGAGACGAGATTCCCAGGGATTCCTTCAAGTCTAAGCCCTGCGAGCGGCCGTCGTTGTCGGAGGCGGGGAAGGAAAAGGTTTTGTATGCGTTTGTTTTTCATGTTCGCACCCCGGTGGCTTCTCTTCCCGCCTCCGTCCAACATTGAGTTTATGTTCCAGCGCTTTGATAATCACGAGAAGGATGACTAAGGAATCACAGGCCACATATTCATGGACGGCTCGTGTCTGAGGTCGGTCATCCGAGAGCTATCGCGCACGGGGTGAAGCGATGTATCGGTGTCAGACTTTGGGCAGGAGTTAAGTCATGTCTATGCTCCCCTTTTCTCGCCCCCTCCCCCATACGGCCCGGGCTGGATAATTTGCTGTCTGCACTGCTGCCTGCCAAAATGCTGCTGCCCCTGCTCAACTGCACAGTGATTGCCAGAAGTGTAGTTTTTCTATGGGAGTTCCCTAGGGCCGAACACCTTTCGCACAAACGTGCGCACCCGGGTATGTTCGTTTGGGCTTCAGACAGTCAGATGGGGGCGATCCACAAGGTGAAAGCCCACGCGTTTGAGGAGCAGGTTGCGAACGACGAATCCCTGCGTCTCAGTAAGGTTGTTAATGCTTTGGCTGACCACTATGCGAAGGTTGGGGCGTTGGCGCACGAGAAGCCGAGCCCTGAGCAGGGCGAGTGGTTAGAGAAGTGTATCACGATTGCTCGTAAAGTGTATTTGTTGGCGGCAAGAATGTTGCCGTTCTGGCCCGCCTGCGACCTGTCTAACGCCACTCGCGTGAAGGTCGAGTTGCCGCTGAAGCCGGCCAGGATCCCACACTGATGGAAACAAGTAGGCGGCGACGTGCGGTGTAACCTTGATCTGTCGGCGTGTCGGGGCACATGGCCCTGAAATAATTCAAGTTGTTCTAAGAAGCGCAAGCTCCATATAGACACCCTCGAGAATCCTCAGACCTTGCCTGCTCGGACGGAGGCATCGCGTGCGTTTGTCTTCAGTGCAAAGCCTTTTTTTCAACTGGCATTTACGCACGCTACCTGGCGACAATGAAAGGGGTTCCAACTACTACTGGGGCCGACTTTGCGCTGGTAAGCACCCCAAGCTTAACGATGTCTGGCTTGATGCGGAGGCTAACAGTGTGATGCGTCTCTTTACTGTCTCCTGATCCCGTGCGCGGGGGCGCGGCCGCTGCCTGCAGGAGCTCAGCTGGCATGCGTGCGTGCCTGTGCCAGCTTTGAAGTGCCGTGCTCGTCGGCCACCTGGACTTTCACTGCCAGAGCCGAGGTCAGCATGAAAAGTCATGTAGAGCAGCGCAGCGGTAAACATTCCCCTTCCGCCTCCTTCCTCCTGGCCGGTCCTCCGCTTCCTCTTTCACCTCCTCATCTTCCTGCTGCAGTATCCCTCCTCCTCCTGCCCACGCCCACCCTAACTCTCCCCGCCCCCTCCCCCACTGCCCGCGGATGACCTGTTCACAGCTTTCGTGGGCATGTGGAGTGCTTACAGTCAATATCGAGCGCTCCTGTCGTTCGTGAGTATCGGTGGACGGGCCACAGTGTTCTCAACTGGCTGAAATGCGAAAGGTACTGTGGGCTGCCTGGTGTTGTCGCATCGTCCTAGTGGTGTACGCCTCCCGTCGTTCCGAGCCAGCCCGCAGAAGGTACGGACGTTTTATGGAGAAGTTATCCAAGGAGGTCCAGCAGAAATTGGCGGACGCCAATGCGGTTGCAGAGGAGACGGCCTCTCGGTGAAGACATCTTGCCTCGCACCAGACGGGGATTGGAAATAGGAAATGAGCCTGAGTAGAATATGTTTCGAAGCTACCGGAAAGCACCTGGGCCTCTCAGAGGTATCCTGGGGCCCTCCTTGGGACTCCCAGGGAGGATGGCCGCGAGAGAGGGGCCACACAATCCATAGTTTCGGTGGCCAGGCACCCCGAAGCCGACGTCGGGGGCGGAGGCCAGCGGAGGCGGAGGAGTACGGTCGGGAACCTTGGCTCAGCGTGTGGCTCCGCCGGTTTTGGCCCACCACGCCGCGGCGCGACGCGCCATCCACGTCGCCGTCCTTCACCACCCACCAAACCACCCCAACCCAACCTGAAGGCCTCAATTTGCCCTCCATTTCCAGTTGGGGGGGGTCGGGGAACACTGAAAAAACACATATGGAACCCGTACCCCCCCCAACCCGAAATTGGGATCTTCGGGTTGGGTTGGGGTGGTCTGGTAGGTAGTCAGTCCCCAGGCGTCAACGTGCCGAGCTGTTCCCCCCCTTCCGCCTCGCCGGGCAGAGCGGCACGCTGACCCGCTCGGGGGACGCAGCGTGTCGACCCGGGGCCGCCGCGTCGACGCGCGCAGCAAGAGTTCCCGGCCACCGGCGGCGACAGCTCACGAAGGCGTCGAGCCGACTTCTCGCCGGGAGCGAGGGGTGGGCGAGAAGCATCTTTCGGGCGAAGATAATTATGCACATGCACCGATCCTGGCAAGGCCCATCCTTGACCCAGGATCGGTGCATGTGCCTTCCTGGCCAAGGTAGGAGGGCGTATGCACCGATCCTGGGCTCAGGATGGGCCTGGCCAGAATCGGTGCATGTGCATAGTTCTTTTTCCTCTAGAGGGGTGGGCGAGAGGCATCTTGCCCTGACCTTCCGCCCGCCAGATCAGCGCATTCCCCGGCCACTCCGACACCGTGGCCAGGCGAGAACGAAGAGGCGAACAGAGGAAGAGAGGGAGGGTACGAGAGTAGATTGTCGAGGAGGAGGAGGAGAAGGAGTGCAGGAGTATGGAGATGTTGATGATGATGCTGCTGCTGATGATGATGATGAGGATGAGGATGAGGATGAGGATGAGGATGAGGATGATGATGATGATGATGATGATGATGATGGTGATGGTGATGATGATGATGATGATGATGATGATGATTATGATTATGATTATGATGATGATGATGATGATGATGATGATGATGATGATGATGATGATGATGATGATGATGGTGATGATGAGTATGACTATGATGATGATGAGGAGGAGGAGGAGGAGAAGGAGGAGGAGGGAGGAAGGAAGGAGGATGAGAAGCAGGAGGTATATGAGGAGGAGAGTTGAGGCGCTGGGAGAGTGTGCTGCTCTTCGTGGAGCACTCTGCCCGGCAGACCAGCGGAGGGCAGCACGGAGGAGGTCGCGGGAGGGGAAACGAGATGGTTCGCGAGTCTTCGTTCGAGCTGCGCGTGTTGTGAAGCCGCCTCTGTAAGAACGGTTTTTTGAGTGCAGATCTGCCTTCAAAAAAGAACGGCTTTTTGAAGGCAGATCTGCCTTCAAAAAAGAACGGTTTTTTGAAGGCAGATCTGCCTTCAAAAAACCGTTCTTACGGAGGGGAAACGAGATGGTTCGCGAGTCTTCCTTCGAGCTGCGCGTGTTGTGAAGCCGCCTCTTCTGTGCAGAGACTCGGAGTCTCGTCGAACCGTAACACGACAATGGGGCCGTCCCACTGGTGTGACGTTGATACTGGCCGGGTTCTTCCCAGGAAGAGACGAAGGGATCGGCAGCAGCATGAGCAGGAGCTGCGTGTGGGTGGGTGGGAGGAAGAGCAGTCGGATCAGGCCTCAGTTGGCTCACCCGCTCCAGGAGGCGATCTCGACCATGGCGACGGTGCGCACGTTCGCTGGGGAGGAGTGCGAGGCGCGAAGCTTCCGGCAGCGCCTGCAAGAGTACTACAGGTTAGAGCTGAGGCCCGCGGCCTGCTGGGAATTGGATGGGAGGAGGAGGAGGAGGCGGAGGAGGAGGAGGATGAGGAGGAGGAGTACCATTGGAAATCTAAGACGCACCGACGATGTTGCAATAAGCCATCCCTCCTCCTTTCCTCTTCATATGCTCCTACAGCAAATGCGGGAAGTGCCCCATTGGGAAGGCATCCGTCTGAGAATCTTCAATCGTACCATGGCGCCGCTTCTGGGAGCTCAACGCCGAGGATCAACGTGACTGCTGCGTCTTGAGGGCGCCGAATCGCGCCAGAAACGCCACTCTTGGACCGCGAACACCGCGGTTCAGCGTAACGGTCGCGTCCTGACAATCCTACCTCGTGCGAGAACATTATTTCAGGGACTTCGACCATACGAATCCTTGAGCTGCTGCAAACTGTTCGACGAGTGCGCGCGGCGCTAGTGCGAGAGACATGGTTTGAAGTCCAGCCGCCCTCCGTCCGTGAAAGGGTTGCAAACTTCTTAGGACGGGTGTGC